AGCAAGAGATTGGGGGGGGGGGGGAAAAAGGAATTAAGAGTGTTATGTACTTTCGTACTAACTCCACACAAGGAATGTAAACGTTGTGTACTGCAAACATGTACTAATAAAAGTAAAAAGAAATGAGCTATCAGGTCACGAAAAGACATGGAGGAAACCTAAGAAATGTGTAGTACTAACTGAAAGAAGACAATGAAAAAGCTGCATCCTGGATGATTCTAACTACTCTTTGTAACATTCTGGAAAAGCCAGAACTATGGAGATGGTAAAAAGATCAGTGGTTGCCAAGGGCTGCGGGGTAAGGGAGGGGTGAATAAGTAGAGCACAGAGGATTTTGAGGTTAGGGACTGTTCTGTGTGATACTATAATCATGGACACGTGTTATTATACATTTGTCAAAACCTATAGAGCTATCATGGTTTTCCTCATGGTAGCCCACCCTGCTTTCTCCAGGGTGTTCTCTCTTATCTTGCTTTTTTTCTTTTTTACTTGGCCCAACTCACTCTGTAGAGCCAGTTTCTCTCTCACTCTTCACTTTTACTTTTTCAAATAAACTTTGCCACTGCTTTTTGTGCATTTTGTTCAATTCTTTGTTCGAGACAAGAAGAACCTGGAATCTAACTCCAAAAGGAGAGGTGAGCAACCCAAAACCTGGTAACATTTAATTGGCAAGCCAATTTTAGAAGCAGACTACCTGGTAACATTTTTTTTTTTGGTATGGGGATCGAACTCGGAACCTTGCACTTGCAAGGCAGGTGCCTGAACCACTGAGCTAAATCCCCAGCCCTGGTAACATTTTTTTTCTTTTTTTTTTTTTTTTTGTACTGGGGTTTGAACTCAGGTCCTTGTGCTTTCGAGGCAGGCAACGGAACCACTGAGCTAAATCCCTGGCCCCCTGGTAACATTTTGATGTAGTCATCCAGGAGAATCAAAAGTCAGGAGATTACAGTAATAGTACCAAACCGTCTTTTGGTTATGCTTAAAAATTCCCATAATAATAATAATTAAGAAATATTTCCCATCATAGGAAATGAACGAATATTTGTTGAATACAAAAAAATCTGAAATAATTTTCCTAAGCTTTAAAATTGTGATGGTTGTGTCCCTACCCAAATTTCTAAAAATTTTTCGTGTCCAAATTAAACAGTTTTTTATTGATTAAAAACAAAGCAAAACAAAACAAAAAAACCCCTATAGAATGGGGCTGGGAATGCAGCTCAGTGGCAGAGTACCTGCAGAGCAATGTGAAGGCACTAGGTTCAATCCCAGCACCAAAACCAAAAACAAAACAAAACAAAAACAAAGAGTGAGCCCTAATGTAAACAACAAATTTAGAGATGATAATGATGTGTTAATGTAGGTTCTTTGATTGTAACAATTGTAGCACCCAGGAGTAAGGTGTTGATAGTAAGGGATAGTGAGTGTGTGTGGGGGGGTATATTGGAATACTTCTTTCTAATCAATTTACTGTGAACCTATTGAACCTATAACTGCTCTAAAAAATAAAGTCTGTTAAAATGATCTAGTTAGCTGGGCATAATGGTGCATGACTGTAATCCCAGCACTCAGGAGGCTGAGGCAGGAGGATCACCGCTGAGTTCGAGGCCAGCCTACATAGGGAGCTCAAAGTCAGCCTGGACTACATAGTGAGACCCTGTCCCCCCCCCCAAAAAATGACCTATTTAAAACATGAAATGAGCTTCAAATCATGGAAAGATATAGAAGAGCCTCAAATGCATATCACTGAGTGAAAGAAGCCAGTTGAAAAGGAGTACATAGTGTTTAATCCAAGTACATATCATTCTGGAAAAGACAAAATTCTGGACATGGGTTAAGGGGAAAGTAGGGTTAAAAATCCTAGAAGATTTTTAGGATGGATGGTGAAGCTGTTCTGCATGATACCATGATGGTGAACAAATGTAATGGTAACTAGTCTGGTAGCATGGGACGTTGAAATAATGGAGGAGGGTGTGCATGTGTGGAAGCAGGGAATGTAATGAGAGCTTTACTTTCTGCTTAATTTTGCCTTGAATAACTGCTCTAAAAAATAGTCTATGGGACTGGGCCGTCTAGCTCAGTGGTAGAGCACACAATTTAACATATGTGAAGCCCTGGGTTCAGTCCTTAGCACCAAAAAGAAAAAAAAAGTCTATAAAAAATTTACTGTGGCTGGCAAATGGGCCCAGGATGTATAGCGGCTGTGCCTGACAGCACATCTGACTTGAGCTGGAGTAGGGTGGAGAGTAGAGGGCGGTAGTCGGGGGTGGTGGGAGAAGGAGGCGGTGAATCACTTATAAATGGCGCCCAAGCAGGACCCGAAGCCCACAGTTCCAGAAGGGTGAACAAGTACTGTGCTTTCATGGGCCTCTTCTTTATGAAGTAAAGTGTGTAATGGTTGCCATAAAGGACAAACAAGTAAAATACTTTATACATTACAGTGGTTGGAATAAAAATTGAATCGAATGGGTTCCAGAAAGCAGAGTACTTAAATATGTGGACACCCATCTACAGAAACCGAACTTCAGAAAGCCAATCAGGAGCAATATGGAGAGGGAGAGATGAGAGGGGCTGCTCCAGGAAAGAAGACATCTGGTCTGCAACAGAAAAATGTTCAAGTGAAAACAAAAAAGAACAAACAAAAAACCCCCTGGAAATGGAGATGGTGGCAGTACCAGTGAGACACCTCAGCCTCCTTGGAAGAAGAGGGCCTGGGTGGATCCTACAGTTGAAAATGAAAAAACACTTATGAACAGAGTTGAAGTTAAAGTAAAGATCCCTGAAGAGCTAGAACCGTGGCTTGTTGATGACTGGGACTTAATTACTAAACAAAAACAGCTCTTCTACTTTCCTTCCAAGAAGAATGTGGGTTCCATTCTAGAGGACTATGCAAATTATAAGAAATCTCGAGGAAACACGGATAATAAGGAGTATGCTGTTAATGAGGTTGTAGCAGGGATCAAAGAACACTTCAATGTGATGCTGGGCACTCAGCTCCTCTACAAATCTGAGAGACCACAGTGCGATGAGCTCCTTGCTGGTCACCCTGATGCACCCATGTCCCAGGTGTACGGAGCTCCACATCTACTGAGATTATTTGTATGAATTGGATGAGAAGAGCCTTGCTTTATTACTGAATTATCTTCATGATTTCCTCAAGTATCTGATGAAGAATTCCACAACTTTGTTTAGTGCCAGTGATTATGAAGTGGCCCCTCCTGAGTACCATCGGAAAGCAGTGTGAGGCACTCTCACCCGTGTTTGGATCTCTGTCAATGTGTTTTTTTGGGTACTGGGGATTGAACTCAGGTTGCGCTTGTGCAGCAGGCGGCGAAACCACTGAGCTAAATCCCCGGCCCTCTGTCAACATGTTTTTGTTCCTCGTCCTTCTCTTTTACAAATGATGTACTTTGAAGATGTTAGTGTATAACAGAATTGATGTTTATTTTGTTTGATTTTAAACAGAGAAAATAAAAGGGGTTACAGCTCCTTTTTTCTTTTCATTTCAAAGTTGCTACCAGTGTATTCAATGATGGACAACAAAGAGACGTGGTGTTGAATGTTGTATTGCCTAGTTGACAAAGCTGCTTTTGAATGCTGGTGGTTCTATTCCTTGACCCTATGCACTTTTATAATACGTGTTAATGCTATATGACAAAATTCTCTGATTCATAGTGTGAAAGGTCCAATTCAGTGTATATAACAACACATTCATCCATTTGTGTTCTTTTTTTTTTTAAATGGTTCTTAAAGAGCCCATCCTTTGCAAATCATCCACATTGTTCCTTAGGCATTTTATCTTTGCTCAAATTGTTGAAGAATGGTGAATTGTTTCATAATTTTGTATTTGTGTCTAATGCACGTTTTTAACATGATAGGTGCAATGCATTGTATAGCTATAGTTTTCTGGAAAAATCAATCTTTCAGGAATTGTTTTTCAGATCTTCAATAAATTTTTTCTTTAAATTTCAAAAAAATATTTACTGGTTAAGCTGGGCATTGTAACTTGTACCTGTAGTCCCAGCTACTCAGGAGACAGTGGTAGGAGGATCATTTGAGTCAAGGAGCAGAGCCCAGTCTAGGCAATATCGGGAGACTCTGTCTCCAAAAATTTTTTTTTTTCTTTTTGGAGACAGGGTCGTGCTGTGTAGTCCAGGCTGACCTACAACTTTCGGTGATCCTCCTGCCTCAGCCTCCTGAGTGCTGGGATTACAGGTGTGCACCACCACACCTGGCTATTCTAAAAAAAATTTTTTTAATGGTAAGTTTTGCAGTATATGTTTTACCACAATTTAAAAGTAATAATGTAAAAACAAACATGGAAATGGAATAAAATAAATGGAATGGAATAGGATAAAATAAAAGTCTTGCTATGTAATTCAGGCTGGCCTTGAACTCACTATGTAGTTCAGTCTGGCCTTGAATTCACAGTGATCCTCCTGCCTCAGCCTCCTGAATGCTGGGATTACAAGCATGTGCCACCATGCCTGGCCAGTTTTTAAAATTAAATTAAAAAAAAATTTTTTTTGCAGTGCTGGGATTAAATCCAGGATCTCACACATACTGGTCAAGGGCTCTACCACTGAGCTTCACCCCCAGCCCAAATCATATACTTTAAATGGATGAATTGTGAATTTATATCTCAATAAAGCCATTTTTTTAAAAAAAGAGTGCATACTGTATAATTCCATTTATATAAGACTCTAAAAAATTCAAACTAGTATATAGTGATAGAAAGCAACCTTAATTTGCTCACTACATCATTTTATCGACTCCGTTTTTTTCAGATACTTTCTCTGGTCCCGATTGCCTTTTTTGTTAATATTGGTCTTGGGAAGAAAACAGATGGGGGGGGGTGTCTCATTTTGCCAAGGAAAAGGTATGGTCTGTCTTCCAAATTGAGTAGTTTGTACTGGAGTTGGAAATACAAGTAGTCCTCGATAACCTGAAAGTGGTGTGATTTAAGAGCCTGTGATTTGCTGACAGCAAGACTGGCCCTAGAACTCCACCTCCCAGAAGGTCTGGATTTAGACCAGAGACTGCCACAGGCAAAGGGGTGGGACTCTGATCGCTACGCGGATGTGGCTCCAAGCTTTCAGAGCCTGTTAGCCCATCCCCCGAGATGCGGCGCTGGAGGATGATCAAACTTTGCCAGGTAACCTTTGTTGAGAGACCCCCCTAACTTCAATCTTCTCTCCTAAAGTCCCCCCAACTCCGATGGTTGCCTCAATATATGAGTCACTTCTTAGATGGAAGGAATTTGAGGGTGAGGTGAAGTGTATGTCAAAGGGATTGATCCAGCATTTCCTATTTGTGAATCCGATGGGGAAGAGGCCCCTCTCTGCCCCAGGCTTATAAAGCTACAGAACCTACAGTCCTTGGTGAAGAAGAATGTGAGGACAGTGCTGAGCCGGGTTGTGGGTTTTTGGTGGGTGACTAACATTGCCTCTCCTCTGGTTAGGTTTCCTAACGCAGGATAGTCTCCTGCTCAGGGTTGGGTAGTGTTCAACCTTGGCTTCCTTTACCTCTTAGTGTCCTAGAGTCTCTTTTGACTCATATTAAACTAAGTAAGTCAGTCTTGAATGTGAAAAGCTTCCTGGGGTTAGAGATAACTACATTGCAGAAATTAGTAAATAAAAACGAGGGCCTTATGCAGAATTATTTTGCTTTCAGAGGAGTAATTTCAGAGGGCCGGGGATTTAGCTCAGTGGTTCTGTCGCCTGCCTCGCAAGCACAAGGAGTTTGATCCCTGATACTCTCCCCCCAAAAAAGTGATTTCAAGTAATGTAGACACAGACTTGTGGGAAGGTTGAGACATGGAGAATGTGTTACAAATTGTATTACTAAGAGCTGCAGTCTTATCTTGACTGTTGTTGGGGCTTTTGCATTGTGAGTCCAGCCTAGGTGAAAATTTACCGCTTGGCAGACTACTTGTGGAGGATGCGTCATTAGGTTAAGACTGGATTGTTTAGGGGTGACTGTAATCTCAAGGTTAAGAGTGAATGGCTGCAAATTTTTCAATGTTTGCTTGTGTCCTTGCCATTTATGTATTTTTATTATGTTTTCTGAGGGTTTTTTCTTACTCCTAACTTTTGCTGATCTCTTTCACAGACCTCCCCACACCCTCATTTCACATATTTGAAAGTTTTATTGAATATTTCTTTTTTTACAAGGAAACTTTTATTTTCAATTTTCATCAGGAAATTTGCTGTGTTTTTTATGCTTTTGGTTTGAATATTTCTTTTTTTCTTTTTTGGTACTGGGGATCGAACTCCGGTCCTTACACTTTCAAGACAGGCAGTGTAACCACTGAGCTAAATCCCCGGCCCTGGTTTGAATATTTCTATTTGACAGGTTGAAGTATGTATAACTTAATAAACATGATACTGTCAAAAAAAAAAGTGAATGGTTGGAGCAAGGCGTGGTGGTGCACACCTGTAATTCCAGCACTCAGGAGGCTGAGGCAGGAAGATTACCATGAGTTCGAGGCCAGCTTGGGCTACATAGTGAGACCCTGTCTCAAAAAAAAGGACAAAAAAACCAGTACTGAGGATCAAACCCAGGGCCTCACACATGCAAGGCAATCACTTTATCACTGAGCTACTTCCTCAGCCCTTTTTTTCATTTATTTATTTTTATTTTGAGATGAGTCTTGTTAATTTGCCTTGGTGGGCTTTAATTTGTAATCCTACCTCAGCTTCCCTCAGTGTTGGGATTACAGGTATGCCCAGCTAAAGAAGGCTTTTTTAAATGTTTCTTTTGATGTGTCATTTTTTAATTTAAAAATTTTTATTAGTACATGTTTGCAGTACATAACGACTATATTTATTGTGGGGAGCTGGTACATATATATAACACGTCTTAATTCTTTTTACCTCTCCTTCTCCCCTTTTCTCCCCTTCCCTCCCCCTCCCCTTAAGGAAGGCTATTCTTTTTTTTTTTTTTGGTACCAGGGATCGAACTCAGGTCCTCGCGCTTGTGAGGCAGGTGGCAGAACCACTGAGCTAAATCCCCGGTCCTTGGAAGGCTATTCTTAAGGAATGAATGTGTGGTAGCTTTTCTCTGTTTCCTTTAATCTTGTATGTTTATTTGTTATGCCTATTCCTACAAAGAAAAAGAAGAGCAATTCAGGGTGGTGGTGCATGCCTGTAATCCCAGCTGCCTGGGAGGCTGAGATAGGAGTTTCACATGTTTGAGGTCAGCCTAGGGAATTTAGTGAGACCCTGTCTCAAAATAAAAGACTGGGCAGCTGAGTGTGTTGGCATATGGCTGCAATCCCAGCACTCAGGAGGTTGAGGCAGAAAGATCACTGCATGTTCAAGGCCATAGTGAGTTCAAGGCCAGCCTGAACTACATAGCGAGACCCTGTCTCAAAAAACAAAAAACAAACAAAAAAAAAAACCAAAAGGCAAATAATATAATGCGTGGCTCAGAAGAAAATAATTTGCTATGACAAAACAGGGAAACAAAAAATTGAGAGTCTATTACAGACTTTGTGCTTGGTGCCAAAAGCCAAAAATAAAACAAACAAACAAAAAAAGTGGCAAATACCCTGGAGTGGTTACCTCAAAGTTGAATTATACTCTGGGCTTGTTTTAGTTGTAGGTGGAAGGCCTCACAGATCAGAATTGGCTATATATGGGGAGAGAGCTACCCCTACTGGTCTTATATGTGAAGCATACTTTGAAGGCGTTTCATTTATGCGGTATTTGTTTTGCCTATGATGTGGTCCTATTGTAGACTTTAGCTAATAAGACAATAGGATATGGAATGTATCTATTGCCCCAAATTTCCAAGATGAGAAATAAATTCCCAATTTCTTTCAGTAACCAAATAAACAATAACATCTAATTATCCCCTTTCCTCTGTCTTCTGACCCTTGAAAAAGTTAATACTATAGGGTTTGGGCCTGAAATTAGGATAGTAATTAAAACTGTAAAGAAAATGGAGTTGGGCCGGGGATTTAGCTCAGTGGTTCCGCTGCCTGCCTCGCAAGCGCAAGGACCTGAGTTCGATCCCTGGTACCAAAAAAAAAAAAGAAAAAGAAAATGGAGTACTTTGGGTTCTAGAGAGTAGGGCAGTGATATATTGATATAGTATTAATATGGAGATATAAACATGGGCGCTTATAGCTTTTCTTTTGTGTGTGTGTGTGTGTGTGTGTGTGTGTGTGTGATATTGGGAATTGAACCTAGTACCTTTCTTTTATATTTTGAGATAGGGTCTTGTTAAATTGCTGGATTGCCCAGACTGGGCTTAAACTTGAACATTCTGCCTCAGCCTCCCAAAGTGGTGGGATTATAAGTGTGCACCACCATGCCTGGCACAAATATGTTTCTTGCAGATCATCTCTGCTACATTACTTACCCTGAAATACTTGATTCATAAAGTGTGAGTGGTGTTGTGACCTATAGTTTTACTCATAAAATGGAGGCCCCTAATTTGCCTAGCACTGTAACCATATTAGAGAACTTTTGCCTTTCCCCAATAATAGAATAGTACTAAAACAACTAAGATATCAAAGGCTGGGGATGTAGCTCAGTGGCAGAGTATTTGCCTAGCATGTGTGAGGCCCTGGAGTCAATCTCTAGTACCAAAAAACCAAAAATACTGCCGTGTGACAGAGACTAATTAGTATTTCATGTGCTTTCTTTCATTTAACCCTCACATTGAAAACTTGCCCAAGATCACAAAGCTTAGGAAGAGAGAGGACTGCTTTTTTACTCCAAGCAGTCTGACTTCAGAGCCTTGACTTTTAACCACTTCTCTATATGGCAGAGTCTGACTTGCCTATCTTCCTCTCCAGTATTAGGCTTTTCAGGAGTTTTTAGGTTCTCAGGAGTGAATATTCATTTGCTGAGCCTATAGTCACAGATCCAAAGTAAGAGTTGTGTTTCTTTTGTTTCAACCTTGGAAATTTTTTTCTATACTAATGTTTTTGTTTGACATCTCTTTATTAGTGCATATTGGTTATACAGATTAATGGGTTTCATTTTGGCAGATTCATACATACACATAACATAGTTTGATTATTTTCATCCCCATTATACCAATGTTTTTTACATTAGTTACTATTTATTGAGCACCTGCAATATGTTAGCACCTTTGATACAGTACAGAATATCCAGACCTTTATGATAACAATTTAACATACATACCTTGTATATGAATGGTTTTTAATCTTTCTGGGCTCAGGGCCTTTTTTGAGAATCTGATGATAGTTTTGGATCTTCTTTTCTGAAAAATTGACTTATGCATAGTATTGTACATAATCTGAGGTGGCTTCTAGGACCTACTGGAGCCTGTTTTCTAGCAGCTCACAAACTTTAAAATAGGAATTTTTGTGCTACCTAACCTTTCCTAGCTGAGTCTTCTAAGGTGTTAGGGGAATGGGGAGTAATGGGAGGTGTCTGGCCCCTTTCCTCAAGAGATATGTTTATAAAGCATTGGCTCCCTAAATTAACCAAGTATTTCTCTCTTGTATATAGGACTGCAAGGGAAGAATGCCGACAATCAAATATGTGATTGGTTGTAGAAGATGGGGCTGTAGGTAAGACCTGCCTTGTCATCAGTTATACAACAAATGCCTCTCCTGAGGAGTATATCCCCACCATCTTTGATAACTGTAGCACCCAGACATCTGTGGATGGCCAAATTGTTAGCCTGAATCTGTGGGACACTGCTGGCCAAGAGGAATATGACCAACTGCAAACACTGTCCTACTCTTAAGACCAACATTTTTCTCATTTGTTTTTCCATTGGCAACCCATCCTTTTATGCCAATGTGAGGCATAAGTGGCATCCAGAGGTCTCCTATCCTTGCTCCAATGTACCTGTTCTGCTGGTAGGCACCAAAAGGAACCTGCAGAACTACCCTGAGACAATGAAGAAGCTGAAGGAGAAAAGCCTAGTGTCTACAACTCCTCAACAAGGCAGTGCCCTGGCTAAGCAGGTGGGGGCTGTGAAATATCTGGAATGTTCAGCCCTGATGCAGGGTGGGATACATGAAGTATTTTCAGAAGCTGTCTGGGCTGTGCTTCACCCTGCCACAAAAAAGAACACCAAGGGGCAGGGGATTTAGCTCAATGGTGCTGCCACCTGCCTCCCAAGTGCAAGATCCTGAGTTCTATCCCTGGTACCCCCCCAAAAAAAGAACACCAAGAAGTGTATCATCTTAAAGCTTTTGGGTGCTATTTGGGACTGCACTTAAGCAGTATAAGAGGAGATTCCTTTGACATCAGTTGAGAGTGCCAACATGAACCATTTGTCTCTTCCCCTAGAAACCCAAGACTACTAGTTATTCAGCTTTTGGAAGAGTGAAGACAGACTAGTTTGTACATGGCTGCTTTGATCTGAACCTTTTGGAGTAAGTGTGTGTGTGCGTGTGTGTGTGTGTGTGTGTGTGTGTGTGTGTGAGAGAGAGAGAGAGAGACAGAGAGACAGACAGACAGAGAAATGTGTCTGTCTCCCCTGTCAGAGTGGTAAGAGGAGATCCCACTAAGTGCTATCAGTGCTGTTCTGTCCTCTCCTGGCCAGCCCATGGCTAAGTAGAGCAATCTAGTATTGTTCTTGTTAGGTGTTTGCTTTTAAGTCTGATTTCAGCTTTTTCTGCTACATTAACCATCAAGCAAGTGCTTCACCAAAAGACAAGATCACCAGTTTTCAAATCATTGCCTTAGCCAGGTGTGATGGCACACACTTGTAATCCCAGCATTCAAGAGGCTGAGGCAGGAGGATTGCCTTGAATTCAAGGCCAGCCTGAACTGCATAGTGAGACCCTGTCTCAAAAACAAAAACGAAAACAAAAAAAAAAACCAAATTGTTGCTTTAAACCTCATTTTTCATTGTTTCTTTTTCTTTTTTTCTTTTTTTTTTTTTTTTTGAGGCAGGGTCTCGCTATGCAGTTCAGGGTGGCCTTGGACTCGCTAGGTAGTCCAGGCTGGCCTTGACTTGCAGTGATCCTAAGGGTGGCTGGGTTTCAAATACATGGCCTCACTCATGCTAAGTGCTCTACCACTGAGCTACATCCCCAGTTCCTTTTTCTTATTCTTTTTTTTTGGTACCAGGGCTCAAACTCAGGACCTTGAACTTGTGAGGCAGGCCGCGGAACCACTGAGCTAAATCCCCGGCCCGCTTTTTCTTATTCTTGAGATGAGACATTTTTATAAAAATGATTAAACAGTTTTTGATTTTTTTTTTTGGTATCAAGGATCAAACTCAGGACCTTGCACTTGCCAGGCGGGTACAGCGCCTCTGAGCTACATCCCCAGCCCAAGCAGTTTTTCCACAGTTCTGAGAGATAGATGTTCCTTAAGAGGGTTCTATGGTTACATAAGCTCAGGAGACAGCAATTTAAATAAAACTAATTATGTTCCTTTAAGCAGGACTTTATAACTTACCGTGTATATAACATTTCTCAAACTTATTTCACCACTGAACTTTTTTTTCAGAGGGTCCAATATAACCCCTATTAATATCTTTGGTAACACAGTTTCAGAGAAGCTGGGTTAATGGGAACTACCGTAAGAATTCCCAAAGAGGGGGCTATAAAAAACCAAAAGGTATAATATGATCCTGTTCTTTTGATGTTTTTCTCTCATGCATTTGAGACAAATGTTTATCAGTCATGGACTTGTTATTGCTGCTTCAGGAGATGGATTTGGCATTTAGTCATGATAGTGCATCAAAGGTGAGGGTCCCATAATGAGATCTGTTAAGATTCTGCTAGCACCATGAGCCTGGTGATACGGAATTATCGATCCCCAGAAAAGTTATATCTGAGTTTTTCCTTTTTCCTTTCAGGCACTTCCTACTTTAGGAACAGATCACTCAAGGTTAACCCCCTAAATAAAACAAAAACAAAATAAACAAATTGACCTGTCAATCATTGTCTGGGAATTCTGTGCTTTCCTCTGAGAGTCTTCTTCTGTCTCTTATTGTGCTTAGCTGTTCTGAGTGTATGAGACAGTGAGAAAGTGAGACAGTCTCACTTGTTGTCCTTACCACCTCAGTACATCTTCCTATTTATTCATCCCTGAGTGCTTTTTGATTGTTCCAACCCTTGTGATTGCTCCAAGTTCAATCTGTACATCCACACCCTCAGGCTGTCCCCTTTGTGGTGATAAAGGACTTCAAGCTTTGCTAGAGTTGCTCAGCTTGCCATTTCTCAGTGGGCCTCCTTCTCTTTGTCCTCCCTAGTCATGTTTTTTACTTTCGTTTGATATGGAAGGAAAATTTCTTCACTGGGCAAATAGTGGTTGATAACACCACTGTGCACACATACTCCTGCCCTGCCAAATAGCACTGAGTTTTTGAGAATGGGGGAACCGAAGCTATAGGAATGCCATACCTTCCCTTTGCAGTGGGTGAAGTATCTGTGTGGTGATTTGCTCTGTGGTAATCTCCCTGTTGCTCTTTGGTAAGACATGGTCAGAGTAGCCTCAGACTAAGAAACCTCCTGGATAGGGTTGACAAATGAAATACATAATGCTGTGATGAATTTTAACTAAAAATTTTTTTTTCAGTACTGAGGAGTGAACTTGGGTCTTGCATATGCTAGGCAAGTGTTTTACCACTGAGCTACATCCCCAGCCATTTTGATTTTATTTTGAGACAAGGTCTTGCTAAATTGCTCAGGCTGGCCTTGAACTTGCAGTCCTGCCTCAGCCTCCTGAGTAGCTGGGATTACAGGTGTGTGCCACCACACCCAGTCAAATGATTTTTTAGAAATAATTTTTTAGTCATGTTGGGGATCAAACCCAGGGCATTGCACATGCTAAGGAAATGCTTAAGCTACACCTCTGTGGCCCAAGAAAAAAAATGTTTTTTGGAGTTTTCTTTTTTTTTTTTGGTACTGGGGATCAAACTTGGGACCTTGCACTTGCGAGGCAGGCGGCGGAACTACTGAGCTAAGTCCCCAGCCCATGTTTTTTGGTGTTTTGAGACAGGGTCTCACTATGTAGTTCAGGGTGGCCTTGAAGTCACTATGTAATCCAGGCTGGACTCCAACTTGGAGTGATCCTCCTGTCTCAGCCTCCCAAGTGCTGAGATCACAGGCGTGCGCCATCACACACAGATGCATACTGTGTTTTTACTGGATAAATCTGACAACCCTACTCTTGGATAATCTAGAACATAGAAGGCAAACATCAATATTGATAGAATGTAAAAAGTTATATAAAGTTCCCTATTTTCCCTCCTGTCCTTTCCTTTTCTCTCACCATGGACTACAAATATTTTTCTTCACCATACTGTCTACTTCAGTTTTCCACTGGTGTATATTTCTACACCTTCTCAATTGCAAAGTACTGTACCTATCTTTCAGTGCATGACCTGGGGCCTCCTGTGCAGAGTGCCAGGGGTTCTCTATAAAGAGTATGTTAAATGGAAGGTGTAGGTGGCTATCAGGGGCTGATCAGACCCTCAATCACCTGACCAAGGGTATAGCACCAGATAACGAAAGACAAGACAAAACCTTTACTGTACAAAGGGGGCCAAGGATGGTCAAAGTTCTTATCAGGCTAAGATACTGTCTTCTGAAGCTTGTCACTATTGAATGCACAGCTTCTTGAGGAGGTAAAGGGCAGTGCAAGGAACAGTGGAGTGGAGAGCACTGACACAAGCAGAGTCCTAGCAACAAAGGAACAAGACATTCTAGCAAGAACAGATCATTGATTAATGGGAAATTTGGTTTTTCCCATAGATTAATTTTTGCTTCTAAAGAAGTTTTGTGTACGTGTCATGCTGCCCTTAGCTGCACTATTGTTTTGCCATCCAAGACATCACAGCGTCACGGATCATTGAGACCTCTGCTGTAACCCATGGTGTGGGGAATTGTTCTGTTCCCACACACCAACTGCTGGCTCTTCAGGCAAGCCACTGTGGGCTAATAGGCAAACTCAGACTTTTAGTATGAAAAGCCAACTTATAAATTTGCAGCTCACTCAGGGTGGTCTCCATCAGGTGGCCCTACAACTAAGGTCTAGTAACAGTTTGGAGCTGCTACTACAGTAGTGTGACTATAGGAGTCAACTGGTCTGTGGATGGGTTTTCCCACACAGGCAGCCAAATGAAAGCACGTTGCCCAAATGTATTTCTCTAGTCTCAGGATGCTTCAATCAAATGCTGCTTGGGATGCTTATAGGACTGTGTGACTGAAAGGGCCTAGAAACATGGCTGCTACCTATTTAGGTACTGTCATCTTTTTAAGTGAATTGTTATTTAATAGTGCCTCCTGCTCCTCCTCTGCCTGGCAAATTTCCAAATGTAAGCCTAGATTTTGTTTGGGCAAACTCGTTTCCTCTAATAAATGGAGGTATGATCCCCAAGTCTACTGGGAGTCCAGTTTATATTGAATGGATTTTGTTTATATTGAACTGATTTTGAACCAACCCTCTTAAAATAAGTTTGTAGGTTTGCTGACGCTTGTCACAGAAAAAGAATTTTTAGGATGCACCAGTAAAAGAGACATGAGGGTTTTTTTGTTTTGTTTTTGGTACCAGGGATCAAACTCAGACCTTGTGCTTGCAAGGCAGGCAGTGGAACCACTGAGCTAAATCCCTGGCCCGACATGAGGGGTTTTTTTACAGAGATATAGGACACACTCAAGAGTGGAGTGTGGGTGCTTAGAGAAATGAACCATGTTTTAAACCAGAGTAAGGTACAGTTAAAGCTGTCTTTTTTTTTTTTTTGTACCGGGGATCGAACTCAGGACCTTGTTCTTGCGAGGCCGGCAATGGAACCACTGAGCTAAATCCCTGGCCCTGTCTTTTTTTCTTTTTTTTTGAGATAGGGTCTTGCTATGTAGTCCAGGCTGACCTCAAACTCATGGTGATCCTCCTGCCTCAGCCTTCCTGGATTGGGATTACAGGTGTAAGCCACCACACCTGGCCTTAAAGGCTGTTTTTAAAATGGGTGATCTAGGCTATGTATTTTCACTGTCTGCCAGGTTACAGTGCAAACCATCTACATTGGGTTTGAAGTAGAGATCTATGTTTGAAGTTAAGATATTCTGTCTCCAATGCAGCTGCTTTCTGGACTGGAGAAAAGGGCAATTTGCAGGTGAAAAGGGTCTAGTGCCAGAGAATTTATAAGTTATTGTAAAAAGGCCTTTAAGGTCCTGAGTTCGATCCCTGTACCAAAAAAAAAAAAAAAGCCTTTAAGAATGTAACATTCTGTAAGGATGGAAGGAGGAATGTCACAGGCTAGAGTGGCCTCTGAAGCAGGAAAAGAGCTTGTCTTGAAGCTGCAGGTTTTTTCAAAGTACAATTTTAAAATCTCAATTATTTTGGTCTCTTTTTTACCTAGTTTTATTATTATTTTTAAAATCTTACCTCATTTTTCTCCCTGAGAGTTTGGTCTCATAGTTTTAAAGGATTATAGAAGGCCAATGGTCTGACTTTAGTAACTATTTTAGGCTATTAGTAACTATTTTAGGAGGAAGGGCGTTGATCTAGTCTAGCCAGGGACTGAAAGTCTTGTTTTGACTGATCTAAAGGAGACCTAGGAATATTGAATTTATTTTTTGAAGAACTATTGATATAGGAATGATATTGGACCTCCAAATGATATAGGGGAAATACTATAACTTGCACCCTGTTAGATGTCAGATATACTGAGTTCGTGTTCCCCCAAATTGAAGAATGAATTCTAAGGAACAACAAAGGTTAAGAGTAGGAAATATTACTGTAGCTTTAGAAGAAGTCTTAAAATTAGGTACTAAACGTCCTCCAACACTGTTTTTTTTTTAAACTTTTCTAGGTCCTTTGTACTCCTACATAACTTTTAAATTTCAATATCCAATTCTTCATTTA